AGATGTGTTAAGAGAATATATGTTTATGACATTTCCCACTCTTTAACGTAATCAAAATGCTTCTCATTGGAAAGAGTGTCATTTATGTGTAGCAAAGTCTCAGTGGCACTCTGGGATTGGATATGTAACGTTTAAAAAATGAGTGTCAATTACTCCAGTTTCCTAAAATCAGAAAGGAAGGATTTTTTTTCTTTTTCCTTTTTTCCTTCTTAGCAGTGAATCAAAACTTCAACAAATTAGATGAAAAGAGAAGGGCAACTTGGTTTCTGTAGCTGTTTTGTTGATTGGGAAAATTTATCACCTTGTTTCAGTCATACGTTTCATAATTATATACGTTTCTTAGCCCTAGTCTATTAAAAGCTAGCCCTTTCTTAAAAACACATGTAGTTGTACTTTAGTTGTGAGCTGAGATTTTTCCAACATGAAGAACACAACTCTGAGGTACCCTGTGGAACCTATGACCACTAGAGGTGCTGTTAAGCATCTTTTAAATGATAAAGTCTCAGCACTGCTAGTACCTACCATCATATGTACACAACCGTTTACATTCGTGTCAAGAGCAGGGAGACATGACCTACATTTGTGGCGGCTGCAGGGGTTGGCAATGCTTACTGACAGCTGGACAGGGTAACGCCTGATAAAACTTTACTATTGATACAAGAGAATAACAGCAGGATGGAAAATGCAACATTCACAAAAGTTATTATTTGCAAATGATCTATGAGGTAGGAAATGCATTTGAGATATTCCTTATACCATAAAATTTTTTTTTTAATGGAAACACTAAGAAAGGAATATTGACATTTTCACAGAGCATATTCAACACAGCTTAAAAGGTGACACGGCTTTAGATGTGGACCATTTCTTACCCAAAGACTGCGAATCTTAATAGAGAAAATGTCACCAGGCAAAACAAGTTAGTTTGCTTTGAAATGCATCAGTCTTCCAGTAAGGTTGCCTTAGTGAAATTTACTGAATCCTTCAATTTTGGTGTTGTTAAGACAATACATGAACAAATCTAGAATACACATTTTGGGTATGTTAAGTGGAGTAGTGTGATATGATTTTGATAGGGTTTTATGCCATCAGTCAAATACCATTTTGTCTTAACTTTGCTCTGTGGTCGGAGAGGTGCTCGGCACAGCATTCTCTTCTTCTGCTACTGTGTATTTTAAATCTTTTTCACATCTTCCTGATTGCAAGGGAAACAGCAGCTAGCTGGTGCTTAAATCAGACTTTCAATTTGTGCATCGCTTTCAAGATTTAATCTTTTAAAGATTTCTAATTCATAATGCCTGCAGTTGTCATTCGGTGCTGCAGTTTTCTCACAAATTATGCCAATTTGCTTTCAATTTGCTTTGATAACCATGTTTTTCCACACACAACTGTCAAAACTGTTAAATGCATTTAATGCATTTGCTTACTTATATATTTCCTGATTGAGTCATTGCGTTTTGCATTTTCCTGCAAAAAGTTTTGCTGTCTTCCTGTCTAGTTTTACATCCTCAAGCAATCTAGCACAACTGCTTTTTCCTTATGAGAAAATTTGGACTATATTTGCATATAGTCACTGCAGAGGCTAAATCTTGTTAGCAACTGCCACTATAAATTAAGTTCAGTGCAGTTTCTAGCAATTTCCATTTATAATTCCAAATATGTCAGGTGCTGACCAACATTTCTCTCATTTTTTTTCACACTACAGTTGATTTACATTTTTCAACTATCATCAATCAGACAATTGGATGCATGGCAAGTTATTAATTAGGATTCATCCCTGGCTGTCACCCACTTAGCATGGCCTTGCAATTGCTTGACTATTTACCCATCAGTGCAATTATATGTTTAATTCAGTGGGTGGCCCTGCCTTTGCCCCTTTGTCATTTCTCTGGAGAGCAACGTTTGAATTTGGCAAGTGCTAGCTATATACGATCTCAACCTCTGTGATATTTTCATGTAGAGTTGTAATTGCTCGTTCTCAGTGCCTTTCATCCTACTGCTAATGCTGCAGTTTTGCAAACTTTAAAAGGGAAATGTTTTTTGGGATGCTTTGTAAAGCAATATGACTAAAATGCAGAATGATTTGTCATATTACGTGGATTTATGTAAAATGCAATCCTAAAATGTGATGGAAAGTCATGTAAGCTGTGGTTCCACCAGACAAAAGACAAAACTACATAGTGCTTTTTGTCTTTTGAGATGGCTGTTTTGGAACGGGTTGACCACTGGATACTTGTTGTGAGTTAGCTAAGAGATTTTAAAGATTGAACACTGGATCCCAATTAATCATAGGATATGATCTTCCACAGCATGTGCGGAAGATTGATCATAGAAAGTGACATTTCTTTGTTGCAACTGCATGTTTGGGTGCACTGTATACTTACATAGATGCAGTAGGCATGCAGAGGGTCATTTCTAGTCAACGGGGATTGTAAATTCAATGGTTTAAGTGTCATATAAAAGTATCAAATGTTCACTGTAACAAAAAAAAAAAAAAATCAAAACACAACACAAACAAAAAAATTAACAGATAAAAATCTTATTTTGTTTTTGCCATGTTTGCAGCGAAAAAAGTGAACAAGTGTAGTGCTCCACTGGATTTACATCATGAAACACATTGTTTTGGTATTCAAATGTGAGAAAACAGTAATAAACCAATATAAACAAAGAAAAACAGATTTTGTTTGTCTTGCTTGGACTCACGTTGTGCAATCTGACCTACCCCATGTGACTCTTTGCACATTTTAAATTAGTAACCTACATAATAGGAATTACTTTGTTGCTGATGCGCATATTCAGGCACAAATGTTCCTAAATCCCTGCACAGCCAACGTCATCATTTAATTTTCTTTCAAGAGTCCTTTCACATCTAGTGAAGTGCATTTGAGCAATTGGGTTACAAAAACAAGGTCATGTTGCTTTTTATATGGGTCTAATAAATCTTGAGTTCAAGTAGAGGGTTTTCCTATATAAAACATTTTGTGTGGGGAAACAAAATACTTGGAAAGCCCAGGTGTAATTTCTTATCACATGGTTGTGTATGAGATTGTTTATACATATTATCGGTATTAAAGTATGAAAGCTTTTGATTTGTCGATACAGTGCCAACAAAACTACAGAGCAGATTTTCCCCAGATTCTGAAATTCCCACGAGGATGATGTGTGATAATAACCTTGGAATCTTTCTTTTGTTTCAATCCCAGATCAAGCACTGGCTGTTCATTTCATCCAGAGAAACAATCTGGAGCCAACAGATAAAATTAGTTTATTCAATTTAAATCGTATTCCAAAAAGCAACATTTCCTGTGAGAGACAAGATTTTATCCCCTCATCCAGCTTGTCTGCCACAATGTTACATGGGGTAACAGTAGTCTGCACTCATTATTTTGAATGACTGCACAGTGCCTGTAAGGAAGCCAAAAGGGGCAGGATGAATTCTCACAACAGAGGCCTCTACACATCTACATTTTAGCGAAGGGAAAACAGGGAGAAAAGCGTTTCAGCTTACCAAGTAGCATCTCTGCGCCAGCTTTCACATTTCTATATCCGTGCACAATAGAGTTGCCATCTAGGATATTCATGTCTCTGTCTGCTTTGAAGATCACCACTTTACCCCCACAGTGACTCCAACCTTTTAAGCAACTGGATTCGACTGCACTGTGACTCATTTCTACACCGATGGATAACATCGTTAGCTGCTGAGGCTTCACTGACCTGAAGATGTTAGCAAAGGCAGACAGCATTGTAGTAGATGGTCAACTGAAGACAGTGCGGATGTGAGACGAGCCGCTTTGCTAAACAGCCCAGCTGTCAGCTCAGTATAAAAGATGAGACAGTAGAGAATCCCTGGTAGAAAACGAGTGGGGCTAAAAAAAGAAAAGAAGTAGCTCTTCAAAATGAGGTAAAGAGGAGTGACTGTGGGCTTCAGAGCTGCTATGAGAGGCCTTTTTACTTCCTTCACATAATTCAATAATTCCAACGCAATGTGTCTCCTAACACAACCAGCCTTGGCTAATGATCAAAACTAGATGAAATGCGCATAATGGGAATTGGCCTACCGTGACCCTAACTTTTCCTATCATCTTGCCCTTTGACTTGTGTTAGTCATGTGTAGGCATTCATGTTTAAAGAGCTCTACAGTGCCCGATTGGATGAATAAAAAATCTACACGGTCCAGAAATTTACTCTCCCACCATTTTTTTCCCCAGTAGTTTCACCCTCCACCACAGTCAACACACCTCCCAGTTAAAAGTAAAGAAAACCGGGCAATGGAATAAACAGTGCAGGTAATTACTTCTATACGGTATAGTGGTCAAGTAGGTAGAATACCAAAGAACATTGATCTCAACTGAAGGTACAATGAGTTTGATTGATACAGTGTAATGTGATTTAACCACTATCAAAAAGTAGTACCAACACACGGAGTACAAAACTAGTCCTTATATGCCCAGCTCCACTCAAGCTATATCATGTTATGCAAGAAAATTTGAACCATATTTCCAGCCCCTCCCCTTTCTACCCCCGACTCCAGCCCACATCATCCATAACCTGGAATTGTATTTCCCATGGTCCTGCAAGGGTGTGTGTTTTCTTGTAATCCAATCAAGAAATATGTCTGAAATTTCTCCAATGCAAGGGAGAGGGTGAAAATGATTCTTAATAATGACATAATCAGCAGAGCAGCCATCAAGCAGATAAATTGTCATGCGCATCGTGCTAAAATATCCAATTATCCTTTGTCCCCCAGCTCTCTGTGTTGAAGTTGGAAATGCCAGAAAGCCAGTAGGTGGATCCCCACTTCCTACTGGTTCAGTTCTACTGGCAGGTTTGCAGTATGGATGCCCCTCTGAAAAGAGGAGAGCTTAAACAGCCTCGGTGCTTAGTGTACAGATCTAGATATGTAAATAGGTTCTATACAATAAAATTGTTCCCAATCCTCAAAAATAAATGGATGAAAAGTATTTGCAAGATTTTTTTCTCCTCAAAATGGTTCTGTTGTGCATACAGGATTTCTTTTTCTTGAAGTTTTCAGTCTTTCCTTTGCTCTTTTCAACAATTGTTTTTTTTCTTTTTTACCTTATCTTACATAGCCTCCATTTATGATGTCAAGACATGCCTAAATTGGTTTGCATGGCATCTACATTGTGCCCCACAGAGTAATCTCTAGCGTGATGCCGAAGGAAAACAACGCGCTTTCTTTCTTTTACAAAGAGCTCCCTTCTTCTCACCTCCAAGGTGTGTCTGATGCTCTCTTCTGTATCCAGATAATACTCTCAAGCAGTCATTTGTCAAAAGATCCCGAAGGCCATATCTGTTGCTAGAAAGAGAAAGTATTTTTACTGTACCTTGTTTTGCTGCAATATCAGAACAAAAATAATAACAATAAAAAGACATCCTCCTCTTTGTTTTAGCTTTAGAGGTTGTTTATCTTCAGCTCTTTATATGTATTTTTTTTCTTGTCTTAAATTTTTGTACAAAAAGATAATTATTCTTTTTTCCCTGGTCCAAACCCTCAGAAACTCTTGACTATATTTCCTCAGGTATTAACAGGGTGTCGTACAGTCCCAGTGTAATTCCATGGGTTTCTGGCAACTCCAGGATGGCATTTCATCTCATGACATACTTGTGTTTGTCAGAAAGTTGGCCTTCAGTCTCTGCTGCGTCAGCGGCATTAGCTTTAGCCTCAGCCATCAGAGTCCCGCCTGCATGGGTGCATCCACAGGGCTATACTCGGGTGGTGGAGTGTGAGTGTGGGTGCGGGTGGGGCAGGGTGTTGTTCTGGCCACTGCTGGGGAAGGTATTGAAAGAGTGGAGTGAGGTGAGCCCTCCCATGGTGCTGGGGATCATGGTTATGGTGTTTGGTGTCATGAGCGGGATGTCATCTGGTGAGCGCCTCATGGCCAGAGTATAGTCCGGTGGGCAGGCAGTCCTCAGAACCACGTCATGCGGGTGCAGGGAGTCGCCAACCCCCCTGCAATCTCGGTCCAGGTCTGAGTGCTGCTTCATCTGTAGAGACATGATTTCCTCCTCTTGAGTATGGGCAAGGTCATTTGCGGCACTCCGCTGGGGGCTGCAGCGTCTATGAACATCGTGCCGGCGCTTGTCCTTTTTGTAGTAAAGTGCAGCAAAAGCCAGGATATTAAGGAAAAGCAGGGATGCTCCCACAGCAATGGTTACAGATAGTTCAGTGGAGTAGTCACGCTGGTCCACAAGATGTGGTTGGTTGTGACTGTCCTGTGTCTCAGTGGGGAATGGGGTTGGGTTAGGACGTTTGGTCACCAGAACTTTCTTCGGTATTCGATTAGTAGTCTCTGGTGGAGGAATCTGAAGACAAGAAAACCAGTGGTTAATAACTAATTCATCTGATCATGTTCAACTGTATAGTCTAGCTTGTGGTACCACAAAGTTGAAACTACATATTGGATACCCCATGATAGGCTTTCAATGTTATTAGAGCAAAAAAGCATGATTTCATTTGCAATAAATAAATACTTTAATATAGAAAGCAATCCTGCCTTCTCTTTGGTTTTATTGCATTGTCTACCTAGTCCTGCTGAGGTTAGTGCATGTTCTTGCTTTGTTTCACATGTGTCCCCCAAGTTTTTTTCATTACTTCTTGTATTTACATTATATTCCAGCTGGACTTTTGGATTCTACATTTATTTATCTGCTATTAAAGCTCAACTCTTGTTTGTTTATTTGTGTCTCCTGTGGCTTGAATTTCACATCATTCAAAACTTTGCAGTGCACACCAAACTGACATTTCACTCATTTAGCTTCTAAGAGTCACATGACTTTAACAGCATATTTTGAAAGAAAAGGAAATTACTTGTTTGACATTTTATAATCCTTTAAGAAAACCCAACTTCATAGCCTTGCAGATTTCCTTCTAGCAGGAAGGTCAAATACAATTTCATTAGATCAATAGTAAATATGCACCTACTTCGATTTGGGGCCTTATTTTTTCAAATTCAGGAGTCAAAATATTTTTCTTCATCATTACATAGTGCTTGTAAGAATGATTGCACTGTCTCTTTAAAGACATCAGATCACTTCTGAGTAGGATGTCAAAAAAAACAAAGCCAATTATTTTCAGTTTTAGTGGCCTAAAACTAGCAATTTCTGACAACATTTCTTTATTTTTCACCAGTGAGATTGGCTACTCTCGATTTAAAGCTGAAAGTCAAAGTTTACTTCAACTGTTTGTTTGATTTAAAACATAATGTAGAGAGGCAACATTACAGAAACAGTGCCCTTATTCAAATACTCATGGGTCTAACATACGTAAATAAAATGGAGACCAGGAAAGGGATGGAGAGCAAAGGAGGAAAAGGAAGACAATATCAGGAAGGAGCAACTTCAGTTTCCTTCAGCTCCAAGTGTTAATGTAATGTTGATAATCTCTTTGCTGCAGCTTAATGCTTAAGTTGCATAGTGACACAAATTTTTGTTCTAACTCGTGGCAAAGTGAGATTGTGTACATCCTGAAATTACTTTAAACATATGGCCACTGCCTGACTTGATAATAATAGTGGATTGCGTTTATATAGTGCTTATCGGGACCCTCAAAGCACTGTACAATTCCACTATTCATTCACTCTCACATTCATACACTGGTGGAAGCAAGCTACAGTTGTAGCCACAGCTGCACTGGGGCAGACTGACAGAAGCAAGGCTGCCATATCATGCCATCGGCCCCTCTGGCCATCACCAGTAGGTGAAGTGTCTTGCCCAAGGACACAACGATCGAGACTGTCCGAGCTGGGGCTTGAACCGGCAACCCTCCGATTATAAGATGAAATGCCAACTCTTGAGCCACGATCGCACCTTGATAAAGTTACTTATCAAAATGTGACATAAATAAGTTTTTTAAAAATGAAATTAAAAATATTACACACATTCACAACCTCAAACCTTCAGAATCAGCCCCTTGTACATCAAGTATCTACTCATAATTTGCATCAAACTGAAGTCAGACTGGATGTTTATGTATAATTCTTCTCTGTCACACCTGATAGCTGCATTTACTGAACACTTTTGGCATTGCCTTTAAATTCATTCCTCAATATACTTCAACTGCTGCTCTGTGTTTATATGTGCTCGTCTATCATGTCTATATATATAATCACCTAAGTAGGAGATCACAAGAGCCCCTTGAGCGGAAAATTAGGCAAACTAGGTCAACAACCAATCTCAATGTTACATTTAAAACTTTTCAAAAAGCCTTCTGTGGAGGGAATGGCTCACATAGACACTTTTTGCCATGATATCACACATCGACTATTTAAAACCAACCTTGGTGGTGGTTGGGATGAGCTGGGTGACCTCATTGAGACTGTGTAGATGAGGAACCAGCTCCAACCACAAGTTGACCTGAGAAAAGGACAGAAATGCGTAGGTGGTAAAATCAAGCAAGTATGAAAACTGTCTTCAGAAGAGCATCTTAAAGTATGGAATTACAATAGGATGAAAATGAAACAATATTGCAGTTCAATTTTAAGCATTCAGAAAATGTCCCTGCTTGTGAAAAACAAACCCAAGACTAGGGCACAAGTGATGCATAAAGAGGAAACACGCAGGAATTTCATCTTTATAGAGACGAAAATTTTAAAATAATGCAAGAAACAATTAATTGGAATACATTTTTATAAATCCAGATTGCATACACTGGATTTATCCGTTTTTTAAAAAGTTAGAGAAATGTGTAAGATGTTAATAGAAACAGAATTAATTAGAGTTTAATTTAAATACATAATAAACAGAAAAATAGACCAAATATATCATAATATATGAGAAAGTCAACTTTTTTTAAGTCTGAAGTTTTAATGCATTTTTAACAGTCTACAAATTCATATCAGAATTATTTCAAGCTATCTTCTTTACAGATAGATTGACATGCACGCATGCAAATGCTATCAAAATATAACCTGTGAAGACATAGAAAATATCACATTAAAAAAAGCAAAAAAAGTTTATAAAAATGTGTTTTTATAAGGGATTTGAAAAAAGCCACAGATTTTGTGAGCGGTTTCTCCTCAGATAGATTATTCCAAAGATGATGGTCAACATGAGATTTAAATCTTGATTTTGGAATCACCAGCATGGCAGCTCTTGAGGCTCTAAGGCAGTAAGACAGCTCATATGGGGTCAACAAATCTGCTATTTAGCTTGGAGTCAAACCATCACATGGTTTAAAAGTGATCAGTAACATCTTAAAATCAATTCTAAATCTACAGGGAGCCAGTGTACTGAAGTTTCTATTGGAGTTCTCTTAAAAACAGTAAAAAGCTTATCTGCTGCATGACAGAGTTACATCTAACTATACCTTATTGGCTCGGTAATGCTCTTTGACCCGGGGCTTCAGGCCAATGTGGAGGTAAAGCTGGTCTTTCTGGTTGTAGCGTGTCCATGCCACTTCTTCAAAACGATTGGGCTTAGTGTGGATGAACTTGGTGTCCTGGGGTACAGGCTGGTTTGGGTCCCTTTGAAGAAAGAATAGGAATGAGTTTCCGTTAAAGAGGTCACAGAGGAGAGACGAGCTGAGAGTCTTACAGTGGAAAAAAAAAATGTTGTTGGCTGTTTACCTTAGAGGGCAGGAAGTTCTAAAACCAGGCTAAAGGTGAACTGGACCTCTTAAGACACAGCTGTTTGCTATTCAAATTTTAATTTTGACATAAGTGTAGCATTTGCCTCAGGTTAATCAGTATAATTATGAAAATACTGAAAGGCAGTGGTGAAATGCAGCCTCCAGGTTTCATCAAATTTTAATCAGCGCTTTCTAAGATATCACACCTGATAAGATCCAGAAAAGGTCAGAAGGGAAATTATTGCTCATAGATGTAGGGCTTTCTAAAGATTCTGACTGAATGGAAAGGTCTTAAGATACCTAATTTAAATTTTGAGACATAAAAAAAAATCCCTGTCACAGTTTTTTGTTTATTTTTTAAATTATGGATATCTCCTTGGAAGTGAATGCATTTATATATAATTCAAACATGAAAAGAAGCTTCCTGCCAAAGAATATGTTTAGTTGAATATGCAGTTCAACCATGCTGATAATTTCCAACAAGTACATGGTTCAATGGTTGCTATAAACCACACTTAGAATAGCTACTTTTTTAAATGTCATGTGCCATCAATTTTAAATGTTTGACTCAATAACTCAAGGCTTAAATAAACTGTAAATGCAGGTCAGTAACCCATGTGAATACCCCTCATATATTCAGTACAGAGGAGGACAACGCACTGAGTTTGGATCCTGCACTAAATAGAGCCACTCGCACTTAATCTGAGGAGAACAGATCCAGCCATGTGAACTATGGAGGCCCATTCAGACCCAGTGAGCGCCCCATTGTCTGAGAGCAGCATATGGAGCCAGCCAAACCTCATCAGGAACACTCTTAACCATTCAAATTGGTGGCATAAATCTCTCAGGTACCCAGCATTCTACGTCAATTTGGGGTTATATATGTAGATCATTAATGCTCTTTTTGTTCCCCTCCGGGCTACTGGGCAGTGCACAGGAAAAGCCAATGTCCCCCTATTATGCTGCAGAAAAACAATTACCGCCATGACTATATAGTGGAGGGCAACATGAGACAGAGGGAGAAAAAAAGGATTTTAATTTTGTCGCTTTCAGAATGTCACTCTCCAGGCTAGGATCATCAATTAATAATGTATTTGAAGATATGTAGTGGGTATTTTCAAAGAATACCAATTATACAACACAGTCCATAAAACCCATAGTATGATTCACTACTCCTCGTCATACTGAAGAAACAAAATTACAGTGAAATTATAACTTCACTGTGAAATGATCACAATGTTCTAATGGTGATTATATGTATATTAACATATAATTAACACTACATAAGCTCATAAACTAATTGATTATTTCATGTAAACCAGCTCACTTGGTAAACAATCATGTACCCTTTTTTGGAAATGAATAGAATGTATTTTGGCAAAATCACAACCAATCATGTCAAACAATAGAATTATTTCATTTCCATATAACTAATAATCACATCAAATTATTTATCATTTACAGCGAAGTGAAATTATTAACTTTCCAGAGGTGCTGGTTAGATCAAGTACAAATATTAAGTATGAGCTATAAGTTATTTCAGATGTGGCACTTAACATTTTCATAACTGAAAAAGCTGTGATGGTTTTGTTCAGATTCATGAGATTCATAACACTGCATTGGCCCTTATGAGTCATCATACCCTGTCTTGGCAAAGTTTGTCCAGTAGGTCATAACCACAGCACTGAGCATAACGTCGTTCTTGGAGAAATTGCAGGGAAACAGCTCTGTTGGTCCAATCATAGGCAGGCCAAACACATATGGGATCTCGTCTCCATGTGCTGCATCTGCCCAGGGTGGTACCTAATGAGCAGCAGATGAATCAAATCACGTCAGTATTATTACATTTATGTGACAGATACAGGACATTAAAAGACTTTATTTTTGCACGGTGGATATTCTGACAATATGCATAGACACAGCAAGACTAAAAAGGCTGGAGAAATAGAATAGTTGTTGAGGAAAAAAGGGGGAATGAGATAAGTTGTTAATATTAATTTACCTGCCATTTTTGGCTCATTATTCAGTGAATTGAACAGAGAGAGAGAGAGAGAAGACAAGAGATAAAAGGATGATGCTGACAGAGGAAAATTGCTTTGAGATGAGTTTAAACTGGAATACAGAGTACATATACATGGTAGCTGTACCAAGTTGAAGTTAATATAATAAGGAATGTGGGCAATTTAATGAGCACTCTTTATTTTCATTAGTTTGTCTAGACATATTTGAACATTAACATTAAATGTTGCATCAAGTAATACAGGAAGAAGTAAGGATTTAAGATACCAGTAAAAAAAAAATATCAAAAAACCAGCCAACCAGTTTAAATTCAATTCAATTCAATTTTATTTATATACCGCCAAATCACACCAAAAGTCACCTCAAGGCGCTTCAAAGATACAGAGAAAAACCCAACAATCATATGACCCCCTATGAGCAAGTGCTTTGGCGACAGTGGGAAGGAAAAACTCCCTTTTAACAGGAAGAAACCTCTGGCAGAACCAGGCAACCAGCAAACAAATATGTATGTATACATATGTATATGTCAACTGTTCAGTTCAGAGGAGACTGTGAGAATCAGGCCTTTATGGTCAAATAGCTGCTAAGAAACCGCTATTAAGGAAAAGCAACAAGCAGCAGAGATTTGTTTGGGCAAAGAAACAGGAATGGACATCTGTGCTTTGGTCTGATGAGTCCAAATGTGAGATCGTTGGTTCCACTAACAATGTCTTTGTGAGATGCAAAAAAGGTGAACGCATGGTCTCCACATGCATGGTTCCCACTGTAGGAGGCTTGGAGGAAGCTTGCTGGTGACCCTGTTGGAGATTTATTCGAAATTGAAGGCACGCTGAACCAGAATGGCCTGGCCAGATGGACTGGCCTCCACAGTCACCTGACCTAAACCCAATCAAGATGGACCTCAGAGTGAAGGCAAAAGGGCCAACAAGTGCTCTGCATCTATTGTAACCTGTGGAAAACTATTGGAAAAACATTTCAGGTGACTACCTCATGAAGCTCATCAAGAGAAAGCCAAGAGTGTGAAAGGCAGTAATCAAAGTAAAGGGTGGCTATTTGGAAGAATCTAAAATATAAAACATGGTTTGACACTACTGCTTAGCCAACTACACATCACTGATTATTTATGGAGAAAGACTCATAAGTAAAGCAGCAGTTATCATACACATGTTGTTACATATGTGAACAATGTGTCGGCTTATCTATCAAACTATCAGTTCAAATCAATTACTTTAGTTTCATTTGGGAGCATTTTGTTTTGCCTTTAGCAATAAGAAATAAGTGATTTTATTTGATTGTACATTATTCTTGAATTCGTTCTGTTTACATGTGTTGATAAATGGCTTCTGCACAGTGATACAATTCAAATCAAGACCGGGTGTTCATTCCTAGATTCCAGGTACCATAATACTTGAAAGTACCTTCAGAGCTGATGAGGCATGTGATAGTTTGAAGCTCACCTGTTCCGTCTGACAGTGGTGGTAGAAAGCATAGAAGTAGGTTGGAGATCCAAAACTGGAGTGCAGGTCAGCTGTGGCAACTGCTGGTGCTACCCACTGGTGATCGGTGAAAAGTGCTAGGAGTGTCTTCCGGCGTGTCTCTGGATTATGCCTATCAGCCCAGTCAGTGTACATAAACTTGATGGTCTCTCGGAGGATGTCTTTGCCTTCTGGGTAGCCATAAAGGTCATCCACAAAGCTGGACACGGCGTAGTCGAAGTCATTAGCTTGGACGCCATTCTCATTGTCCACGATAAGCTCGACAAACTTAAGGCCCTCGCCCTGGTTCACTCCCAGCATTATATCATAGTTGAGGAACTCACCTAGCAAGAGACAGTAGAGTTTGGTTAACTTACAAATTGTAATTACAAAGCATCCATTGGTGGAAAATAAATTGAATACCTTGTTCCATTAAAATCTGAGGGTCATCAGGTATAACATCGCCATCAATAACAGGGCCGAAGGCAATGTGATAACGGGCCGGCTGGATGTCTTGATCCACAAGCTCCTTGTAATGTTTTCTCTGCAGGCACAACACAAGCTCCACAGTGTCCTCCAGGTTGCAGCCTACCTTCCGAGCCAGCATTCGAGCATATTTGGCAGGCTGAAAACTGACAGCCCAGCTAGACAGAGCTGTGCCGCTCTGAGCGATGGCCCTCTGGAACAGGCCTTAAGACAAAAACAGCACAGGGGCAGCATTGATGGAGAAAACAATTAATTAGGTGCAATTCAGAGACTATCCCAAAATATGTCAAAATAAGTATAGATGCATAAAATGTCATTTTGAAAATCATATAAAGAAAAATATCATATGATAAATCAGCTGATTGAGAAAATGGAACGGAACCTCAGTGATCATAGGTCATATTAGAGGCAAACTGAATACACTGAAAAATAGTTTTGCTTATTAGAACAGACAAAGCAATATTTCTTTTGGCAAAAAAGAAAAAAATAACTCAGCCATCCTGATTTTCATCATGAACATAGTACAATGCAGGTTTGTTGAGTCAGTCCCATATTAATGCCCTGCAGGTTGAGGGTAACATTAATGATGTAAAAACTGGCAAATTCTTTGGTTTGTTAGTTTTCAGTAGTGACAAGAAACAAATCTGAACATTTACTAATGATCCTGTGATTGTTAGTCATCTTGAATGCAAGAAAAATCTTCATGGCTTAGTGTGATGGGGGATGTCATGTTTTCCCTTTCCCTTTTCTTTGATTTCCATCCAAATGTGTGAAACCCCTCTGATCACAGTTTTTAGATAATTATCACCAAACTGACTGTAATAAAAAGGTGTTGACAGAGTGAGATATTGGGGTCCTTCAGATATTTATAAATGTTGTTAACAAAGCTGATTTTGAATCCCCTATTGATGCTAAGCTAAACAGCTCCATCATAGATAATGGTAGAAACCTATGAGAGTTCATGGAGATTGTCTGAATCATCCAATCTATCATGTCAAACGTGAGTGGTGTGACTGAAATGAGATTTCTGTTTCTTTATAAAGCATGACAAATCCACAGAAGGCATTGGTCTGTAACATAACTTGAATGTTCCTAAATTCGCTATTTCCTTCTTCTTGAGAAATGTTTGTTACAATTACAGTGGACAGCTAGCCTGGGAAATAGACAAATCTCAAAGCTCAGGTTTCATATACTCTGACAAAATGACTATCCTGCCACATAGTGTAGGATTCAAACAGAAATCCCAACTACAGCAATGTCAGGCTACTGGTCAACACTGTCCTTATCGTTCTTATTGCTTACCTGACCTTAGGGAAAGAGGTGCTTCAAGTTCTGAAGCACCCCAGTAATGTCAATATCCTTTACATATCTTATCACCTAATTTTGTTTATGGTTAGAGGCACATTTTTTTTTTTTTTTGCTGCAGATATACATGGTTGTAACACATTATTACTACCAAGTCTCTTCGTTTTGAAAAATTGGTCTCTGTATGAATAAAGAGCAACATCCCATTAAATAAAATCATATATGAAACCTGTGTTTAGAATATATGTGATGTTTTTGTTCATTTTTTTATTTTTTATTTAACTGTTTGTAAAACAACTGCTTTTAATTGCTCAGAGCGGGCATTCTCAGAAAATTATGAAGCACAAAATCTTTTGTTTTCTATATAGTAGTATATTATCAATTGCTTTTTTTCATGTCAAAGCTGAATATTGCAAGTACAGTGAAACGCAGAGAAAAAAACCCTCCATTCAGCACGTTCCGACGTTAACATACACGCATCCAAAATGACAACAAGCATCAGCAAAAGCAGATCACAACCTTTTTTATGGTCACTCGCTACTGAAATGAGACTTAAGAACGTATGAAGACCCCACATGGATCCCTGTAACTCGAGTCCTTGGGCTTTACCTTTTGTTGAGTTGCTCCAGCGGTTTCCCTCTGAGTAGTGAGACAGCGTGAGCAGGTTCACACAGGAAGCTCCCGCTCCGGAGCCAAACACAGTGATTCGCAATGGATCGCCGCCAAAGGCTGCAATGTTCTCACTGGTCCAGCGCAAAGCCTGGATCTGATCCAACAAGCCATAATTCCCTTTTGCTGCTTGGTCACCGGTACTCAGGAAACCTGGATGAGAGGACAGATTAAAAATAGTAGATATTATTTTAATATCTTCTCCTTAATTTTCTTATTTGACCATAAGCAGATGGCTTCATTAACAAAGAAAAGACACCTAATGGCATCAGGACTTTTCTCTGTCTTAATCTACACATTTCATTTATGGAGTTTGGTTCCTTTTCAACAAACTTTAGAAATGAGAAATTATGTTTATTTATGTCTTTACATTAGTAGGTTTAATCTTACAGTTTATCATCACACATCACGAAAAAAAAATCATTCAAAAACATTCTTTGTACTTTTGTATTTTGAAGATTTTGCATTTTTTAAAATCTATTTTCTTTTTTAATCTCCTTGATTAAGCTATTAAGGTATATTTTGCCACTGTACACAGAAAACCAAAAGCCTCATTCTTTAATAATTTGCTGCAATATAGAGAGATATAGAGTTACGAGTAATTCAAATGAAAACTTCATGGAAAATGATAATGTGTCACAAAGAAGCAGTGATATGTTTAATAACATAATACAAATTTCAAATCAAGGTCTTTGTGGATAAATCTATAATAATAACTCGTGTTTTCAAAGGTCAGTACAACACACTGCCCACATCCAGACTGCCTTTCAAGAGAAGACTTTATTCGAACTGCCTATAGTCTGCTTCAACGCCTCCATGATCTTTTATTTCAAGTTGAATTGATTTGTTAAAAAAACACACTGAATACACAAGGTCATGGAGTAATTTAACTAACAACATTAAGGATATTAATTTTTGTTGTTGTTGTTTATGCATTTATTATCATTATGCTTTTTAACCACAATAACAATAGGCGATCTCAAAAGTTTGAGGTCAGGTCAATAAGTGTTTGGCCAGATGTCTGTATCTGAAATGTAATATTTACCTTTGACACCAGACAACTGGGCTTGTCTTACAATTAGTTCTTCAGAGTTGGCTAGATCTTTACAAAGGATAGTTTGGGAAATAATTATGCTGTTTATTACAGTTTTTCCACAAGTGTTTCTGTATTATATTTTCATGCTGCAGCAATTACCTTTTCTAAGGTACTTTTTTCAGGCCTGTGCAAATAGTCATTCGTGAATCATAAAAACGAATCTGTTACTGTTTGTTAGCTAGTCGGAGCTATCACTTACTATTCAATTAATAGTCGGTGAATGGCACTGACTTATTCACTAAGTCAGTGCCATTCACCAAAATCACCTCCTTCTCCATCCGAGCTACAAGACACCATATACATCACTTTTATTTCTTTTACTGATCCAGTGAAACTATGGTGCTAACAGCCTTCAACTGAACATATGTTTAGCTATGCATCATGCTACAGGACGTTGCTGGTTCTTTGATGAGGTGAAGCTATAATGTTCTGTGTTTGTGTTTATAGCACCGTTAATAAAAAAAACAACAAGTGAACAAATAAACAAAAAGAAAGTGAAACAAAATAAATGTCATGTTAAGATGTTTGCTTACGCTCATTCTCCTGTCCACTCATATCCCCTAAATTTAAATGCAATTGATGTCACTGCTATAAAAAAAACGTTTGATGTGAATAAATAGTATAATGTGAACAGCCTGATGCTGCATGGCCCTAACTGTCACTGTTGCAAAGGATTGTGGGATGGCGTTATCTCCTTTCCTTTTGTAAGGTACGGACCAGTCTATGCAATGCTAAAAAAGATAAGAAAGGAATCTTTGAAGCAACTTTTCTTTGAATTTCAAGCAATCTGACGACCTCTTATCGCTTAGATTATTTGCCAAAATCCATGGCAAGTGAGGCTTCAACATCAAATACTAGTAAGGTACAAATGTACTGAAGAGACGAGGAGAGCCACAGGAGAGCTGAGGTCTTTTAGAGCAATTTCATGTCCAGCTCCCTACACTTCCACACTAAAAGCCCCATTAAGCCCTCCATGCATCCTGGGCACTGACACCCAACAACCACACCCAAGAACTGTCCCTTTCAACCTCACATGCTCACATATTTTCTTCCATGTGTTTTTGGATATTTTTATTTGTATCAGTGAAAATGAAATGCCTATTTCACAGTCTCAGTCAACACTACACTGGTAATTTACACTGGATGCATTATGTGTACACCCACAGAAAGCCTTTGAGGATTGCTAAAAGAATATATTTACCATCCTGCACTTCAGCCTGCATATCTGTTATTTGCATCAATTCAATTATTTGCTGTCATTTATTTTTTTTGCTTGTTCCTGCTGTTTTCCAAAAGTTGTAAATAATTACTGAAATAAAAATCATCATCGTTAAAATCACTTGGTGCAAAAAAAGAAAGGATGGCATCACTGGTTTGTAAATAATTACTATATGTGCTGAATGTCTTTAAAGTAAAACCCAGTATTATACATGGGGACATGAAAAAAGCAAATTAATATTAGTAATAATAAATTGTAATTTATTTATTATTATTATTATTATTATTATTATTAGTCATATTAGTGGTAGTAGTTGTAGTAGTTGTAGTAGTTGTAGTAGCAGCAGTGATTGTAGCAAGTTTATTAGTATTTCTACATCACTCTCACTACTACACACTAAAACTCTCTAGAACAACGACATTTACTTCTTCTGATACCTGAACAGTTTTTGGTATGGAATGACTTGGGGATGTCTAGTGTTATATTCACAGCTCTGAGGTTTGAGGTTTGTCTGATTTTCTACTGTTGAGGACTAATTAAGAACTCTATATGAGAATTCCTGCTATACAACATAATTCTAATAATGTGAGAGTAATAAATCCAGTTTTACAACAATAAATATGACCTCCATGATATCTGCCCAATCCAAGATAACACTTACTGAACCATTCTAGCATCATGGAACTAATGTGTTTATTGTTCTTTGGCCTGTCACTTCGATATTTAAAGAGTTAAATCTATGACTTTATGCTGAACCCAGTTTACAAAAAAAATTCATTAGAACAGGATCACAAATCATATTCATTTTTATTGCATAACACAGTGATTTGAATTAATGTGGCTGTTAAGAGCTGTAATTATGCATGGCAGCACATGTGACTGTGGTCATAATAACCATAATGCATATTATGTTTACAATGGCTCACACAGATTCATCTACTGTCAAGTATAACCGCTGACATAGTCAGCTGAAAATTTGTTTTATGAAATTTATGATAGAGCCACTCTATGTTCGCATGCACGCTCACTTGCTTGCAAGTTTGCTCATTTGCACATATGCACAATTTTTAGGGTTTTTTTTGTATTTCTGCAAGTATTTCTGAACAAGCACTCATTTGAATCACGCACATGTGCCAAAATCCTATACAGTGCAGCTGCATCCACACATTCCTACTAACATCCAGACAAGCACACACCCCTGCTGACTGTTTAATTAAGTTCATTCCTTTTCTATTCCCCTTCCACTTGCTTATTTATTTATTTGTGTGTTTCTTGATCAAAGCCTAATCTGGTGGAAGCAACAGCAGCCATCTAAACGAAAGATTTTAATTGATTCAATTTAGCTGTAGTGCAAGGATGGGCTGGCAATCACAAAGAGTGAGACAGAAAGAATGATTACTACGCCAACAGTGGTGGGGCAGTGGGGTGGGGCTCTATTCCCTTGCTGTCTTATATACAAACATGCACATAATGCGGTAATATATGAAAAAAAGTGGTGCGTTGATGTTACAATAAACATGCTTTATTTCCTCAGAGTGATGCCAAACATGTTTTATTTTCCTCCTCTATGCAGGAGTTCATACGTGTCTATGTCTCAGGTTTGGCTAAAAGCCACCATCCGTGATTTAGGAGCTCGGCCTTTAAGCTTCCTGGGATGACAATATTGAGGTGAACCCTGATCCAGGAATCCAGCTTTTATCCCTCCTATTTCTGTCGAACCAGAAAGAGAAGGCTAGACGAAGAGAAAGATGGGATTTTTTTATACTTCTTTCTCTGCACACATCTATTTTTCACAGTCACGGTCTGTATACTATAATCCTCTCTCTTTTCTCTCGTTTTTACTTTCTGTCCTTTTGACTCTGAATGGTGAGAAAGAGAATGAGAAGGAACAGTAGAGGAAGAAGGAAGAGGGAAAACACCATCACTCAAGCATGTAAACTCTTCCAGCAGATGTGGCTTATTACTGGTGGTGAAATCAAAAGAAAATGCAAAATTCAGAGACCAAAGGGAAATGGGAAGTTAAAGTGGAGGGAAAAAAGAGTTTCGCAGCGTAGCAAGATTAACAAGCATGCAGAGAACGAGGCAGCGAGTCTAGAGTAGACAAAAGAATGACAAGGAAAATGAAACAAGACGAAAAGACGCAGAAAGTGAGAGAAAGAAGCTTAATGACTAAGAAAAATGGCTGAATCTGTCATTGTTGTTGTGCTGTGTAGACCAACGTCTGAGGTGGCATTCTTGAACTGCTTAGAGATTCTTCTTCAAATTGTTAAATATGATTATCCCATGCCTTACTACAATGCAGGTTTATAAAAAAAACAATTCCCTTAATCTCACATCCTTTGAAATAACGCTCTTATCAGGTTAAAAAACAAAAAGAAATCACAGTAGAATCAGCAGAATTGACAATAATGATTTCCGAGGCATGTCTCTTAATACAGAATCTTACGGCGTCATTTTTGTTCTACTATTCTGAGCACACGTAAAATAAATTTGAGCGCACGTAAAAAAAAATTGCAGGTGCAAGTGTTGCATTTTGAGGAGTAATTTATTTTGAGTGAAGAACAGCTAAATTTGAGTCAACAAAATTCATTGCTGCGTGCAAAAAATCTATTTCAGTGTTTGCTATTAACCATACACACACTCAGTTTTTGCATTTGCGCTTGCTCGCAATGTGTTGCTTGCACTCTCAACATTTATAAAGCGTTAGAGCGCTTTTGTAAATATGTGATGTCTTGATAAATTGAGCAGATATTTGAAGTTTACACTAGTGATGTGCGGATCGATACTGAAATATCGATTCCTCCGATACCAGTCATTTATGTTCTTGAATCGATTATA